ATATATATATATATATATTATCCAACAAGTGATATTTACACATATTTTAATATTATATTAATGTTAAAATAAAGTAATGCGATGATCTAGTGATCTACTAAATAATTTTGTAATCATGTGAAACTTGATATACATGATCTTTAATATGATATCACATAATTCAACAGCTGGATCAATTAAATTTGCATAATACAAAAAAATTATTGAAGATAAAAGATTTGGTGCAAGTCTTTTAGACTTACACCTGGTGTCAACAGATCCTGACTTATATATATGTATATAAATATGTGGTATCCCAATGTCTTATATTTTAAACATTAGCCCTGTCGTGCTTCATAAAATATCATAACCCATTGTTTAATCTTGGTAACATGAAATAACCATGATGATTGGTTCCTGTTACTGTAATGATACTTCAAGCCTATCCAGGAAAAAAAAAAAAAAACTGAGCAGGAATTATTTTCTATTTGCCTATAACTACTTCACTTCCATATTTCACCATCAAAATTTTAATTAAAGGTCAAAGTTCAATGCCAGCAAAATTAAATTCGACAGTAGTATTGATTTTGATAAAACCAGAAAAGAAGCTATTAAAAGTTAAATGTATACACCATACCAATGATTGCAATTCATGTCGGGCAATTATTTCCTTGCTGTAGATATTTAGGCACTTCAAAAATTCCTGGTAATCCTCAGGATTCCGTAATTTCTCCTTCACTTTGTCAAGGTAACCAAGCACTGAACTGTACATACCTGAGATGACAGAGTATTGAGATAAAATCTATATCTATATCTACATCTATATTTTATATCTAAACTAATATATAAAGGGGATACCCCTTTTAATAACTACCTTGGTCTCCATATTTGATAGACCATTATATCCTTCTAGTACTAAAAAATTTTAAAAAATATATTTATATAACCCAAGACTCAAAAGTTGAACCATCAAACATTAGTTACTTATTTCATTTTTATTTAATTATTATAAAGGTACGAAGTGCCTTGGTCTTGCTAGTTATTAATAAAAGGAATATTCTTTTTAATAAATGTTTTGGTTTCCATTTTTTACATGGACCATTTTAACCCTTTCTCTACCTTAGTATCTCTTTTCTTTTATTCTCTTTTTTGGTGCAATTTTTTTTTCTTTTCTGACACTACTCATGAGTAATTGCTCATTCTTTTATTTATTTATTTTATTCTGAAGCTATTCATGAATAATTGTTCATAAAATTAATTATTTTCTTTTAATACAATGTAGACATGGAGTGCTTTTGTCCTGCTAGTGAAAAAATTACTAGCGGAAATAATGGAACAATGCCATACATTGGAAAAAGGATTTTTCTTCTTACAATTAAAACATGGAAAACAGGTTACAGTTTATATATCCTAACAGCCTTGATTTTAAATATAAAATACATATCATATCTCGTTTATAGATAACCAATCAACAAACAGATGATATTTTTTCTACCTTTTACCATTATAAGTGGCAGAAAAATGAAGATAAATTTTTGCATTAGATAATTACTTTTCAAGGGTTATTGATTTTCTTCTCTTTTATATTAGATTGAAGTATATGTTACCATTGCTATAACATGCATTTATGTTCATAAAATTTGTTTGAGAAGCTAAAAACATTTCTAAATTGAAAATCAAAAGCATTCACATACTCACTTTTCACAGAACTTTTATCTTCACAAGCAGTTGAGATAGGGTGCATGCCAAAATTTTCGTCAGTATCATGCAATGTTTCAGCACCACAGTCTTCAGCTTTACAACCAGATTTCTGCTTGTGAGATAAATTCTCCCTATTACCATCATGATCATAATCTCTATCATCTCTTTCCCGTTGCCTCCTGTCTCTCTCTTCTCTACGGTCCTTTTCCTTCTCACCACGCCTCCTCTGATCCTTATCAGCCCTAATAAAAAATCTGTCAAGTTCTGGATCAGGATGATCAGCACTGAGGTCACGATCACCATGTGAAGCTATGGTTCTTTCTCTCTGGGATAAAAACAAGTTAAATTGCAGTGTAATAACAAGCAATAAAATCACATGGACATAGGATTACAGAGAGAGATAAACCTTTTCAACATGCATTTGCCTCACTGTTGGCATTGCAGAGCTCCTATCACGAAGGAGAGAATTTCGGGCAGAAGCATAATGAGTAGAGGCTGTTCCTGAAGTATCAGGAAGAAAATGAGTAAACTCCTCAAGAAGATCTGCATGGTCCTGGAAAAGTGAAGCAACCTGAAAACATACAAGATATGACTAGAATGAGTGTCTTAAGAATTATAATACCCACTAGAGGAGGAAAAGAAAAAGATCAAACTAACAATTATTCCTAACTGTAACTTGGTAACATAGGCATAGACACTAGAAAGCACAGACCTCCTGGTAAACCTCAGTGATAGACTTTGTTTCTTTTCTGTACATATTTAATATGTCTAGAAATGACTTATAAACACGGTCATTGCCTTGAAAACGATTCTGCATGGGAAGAACCCAATCAATAAGATTCAAAAGTTAAGCTGTCCATACTTGTTGGAAGACAAATAATAGTATTAGCTATTAAATTAACAATGTTTCTACCTTAATCTTGCCCACAAAATTTATGGCTTCTGCAAATTCAACAGGCTTCTTTTGTGTAGGTTGTTCATCTTCCAACGGAAGGGTAATTTCATATCCCTTGGGCAAAAAGGTGTTAAATCCTAAAATTAGATCTTTGTGCCCTTTAAACAGCTCCTTCACTCTTTCTATGACACCTGTTGTATCAATTCTACAAATGAACAAAAGAGAAACAAATCAATTTCAGCTAATAAAATCCAGTTCCTCAAAACTAAGAAAATATAACAGACAAAGCAAAAGAAAAGTCTTGGGAGTTGGGAGAATGTAGTACAACATGTTCAAACCTTTGAGCCTTGAAATCCTTCATGACTTCCAGAAAGTCATCATACTTTTCCCTCTTATCTTGAAACATGTCCTTTACTGCCTTGAGATATGCCAAGGCATCATTAGTGGTTAGTCTCTGACCACCACCACTCATCATCTGTGGCTGCCCCGATCTTCATTACATAAAATTTCAAAAAATTATTCAGACCATAGGAGAAGTTGATGACAAAGTACTTAGCTCATTATCACACCATACAAATGCAAGTCAGTTGAAGAATGTTGAATGTAGCAGAAGTGTTGAGGATCTACTTAGACAATATTGCATCTCAAATGCACTCAGACATTATAAACTGAATACAATGGAGCTCCTGCATAGGTTTTACAATACTTTTCTCCTCTTATTTATCATTCAATATATCTTGATAAAGCCAAGTTTAATATAAACTGCATATGAACGAACATAGCATTCATAAATGACTTGAATGTAGAAAAGTAAAGAGAATTTAGCTCATATAAGTTTCAATTACACCAAAATCTTACAAATAGTAAAGATTAAACAAAATTAACTTGCTAAATAATGCTGATAACTTGAGACATTACAGAATAATCCTTCATCAAAGACTATCTCACCAAGTCAAACCTAAAATGGAAAAGAAAAAAAAGCAATCCAAACCTTCACCAAACACTAAAATTGCAGAACAGATGAGAAATACCAAACAACCGTGCTAGTCCAATAAAACTAAAGATGCAACTGTTTCACGAAAGCAGAAAATAAAATTGTAAAAGAATGAGAACAATCCACGAAAAAAGAAATTGAAGACAAAAAAGGGAGAAAAAAAAATGAACTTACGGTTCTCCTCTAGAAGACACCATAGGCCGTTTGAGTTGTGAACTCGTGTAAACATCATCCCTAGACCTCTTCATTCCTAACAATAACAATATAAAACAAAATAAATAGAGAAGCCAAAAAACACACGCCCAGAATCATGCTTTCAAACTCAGATAGAATAGAAAATCCTAGAAACCCAAGTTACACATTCGAACAAAAGCAACAAGCAGGAAGCAGATCTAACCGATGGGAATTCACAAAGGCATCAATCACAAGCAAGATTTCCAGCCCCAAATTGCACACAGATCACCCCCGTAGAGGCCAATCCTAACAAAGAGAATCAAGAAAGCAAAATTTGCATTACTTCAATGAAAAGCAACGTGACGATAATTTGAAGCACGAAGAGAGGGTTCAAACAAAAATTTACAGAGTGATTGTGAAGTGCGCGAACTGCAGAGTCCCCCGCAACAAGCTTTTCAACAAAACCACGGAGCACACAGAATGATAGATAAGAAACACAAAATGAGAAAGAAAAAAAAAAGCGAAAACAAAAACATTGAATCTTCGAGTAACAACAGAGAACAATCACAACCTCAGATGATAAGAGAGAAGACAAAATCTTTAGCAGCTAAGTTTCTCACTTTGAAAAAAATTCAAAGAAAAAAATCCTTTTTATTTTTCTGGGAGATGAAACTGAATGCGGAGAACGAATGGAAAACATACAAAGGGTGAAGGTGAGAGAGTTCACAATGTGATATGCGTATTTATATATGGGATGTGAATCGGATATAACATAACACACAAACACTGCCCAAACAAATATTAGAGAACCATATTTTGGGCTGTGGTGGGAACCGTATTTTTACGCAAAAAAAAGAAAGCCTAGTAAAATAAAAATAATATATATATATATATATACACATTTTTTATTATCAGAAATTCACATTTTTTACTTAGTAACGGAGATAATGCTTCGAAAACTAAAAGGGGAAATATAAATGAAATTCATTAAATAACTATTAAGACGTGCATTATTTAAATATAGGTTTAATGTAAATTTATATAAATATAAATATAGGTTTAATGTAAATTTTACCTAATAAAGAATATTTTGCTGACAGTTTTATTTTATTAAATATTTCTTCTAATTTTGGTTTGTTTACTTTTCTATGTTTTGCTCATTGAAATTAGGGCTAAACAAGATTTTAAGAGAATGGTAATTTGGGAATGGAGATAGGCGGAGTTCATCAGAAGGATAAATTAGTTAGTTAAGGAAAAAAATTTATGTGAGTGCTTGTTGCAAAATTAGGTTTATAGGTTTTTGGGAATTAGGGTTTGGTCTCGCTATGATCTCGTGAATAGTTGGTGGAAAAAATAATTGTGTTTTTTTTTACTCATCTTTGAAAAAAAATATATATTGTCACTGTTAACGATATCCCCGATAATAGAAAAATAAGTAACATACATTTCTAGTTCTTTAAAATATTTTTAATTTTAATTTTATTCTTATCAAAATTTTAATATATTTAATTTTTACATTTATGTAAAATAAAAAATATACATATGTTTCATGTATGATTTATTTGGATAAAATAACGTAAAGAAAAAATACAAATAAAAGTAAAAATTAGTAAATACTTCATACTAATAATATAATTAAAATAAATTAAAATATATGTTTCTTTTAAAATTTAAAAATAAAATAATGTATCTAGTTTTTATACAAACTAAAACCAAAATTCAAAATATTTTGAGAGGTCAACCAAAACGTGTTTTTACATTAGAAAATTATAACATTTTATATATAAGATATTTGTACATCTAAAATTGAACGGCTTGCAATGCAAATTTATACAAGTAAATTAGTGCATTTTATGTTAAAATATACACTTCACTCAATTGGCAAATTTGAATATACCACACTTTTATTTACTTTTACTTTTTTTTAAAAATTATTATTTTTTGTATATTTATACTAATATATAAAGGGAATACTCTTTTCAGTAATTATCTTGGTCTCCATTTTTTTTACCATTATACCATTTTATTTTAAAAAATTAGAAAAAATATTTTTTAATCAAATTTAAAAACTTGAAACTAACGGATTAATCATAATACCAATTAGATTAATATAATTTTATTTTTTATTTTTTATTTTTATTTTATTTTTAATAGAGGCATGAAGTACCTTGATCCCACTAGTTAATATATAAATCCCACTGATTAATATATAAAGGGATACTCTTTTCAGTAATCACCTTAATCTCCACTTTTTTTTTTACCATTATATCCTTTTATTTTAAAATTTTGAAAAAAAAAATATTTTTTAATTAAATTTAAGAACTTGAAATGAATGAATTAATCATAATACCAATTAGATTAATATATTTTTATTATTTAATTTTTTAATAGAGGTACGAAGTGCCTCAACCCCACTAGTAATTATTACCAAAATATATTTTATAGTATTCCCTCACACAAATAATATATCATTTTCGTTTCTTATATTAAAATATCACTCCTACCTTGAGAAATGTAAATATATTATAATTTATTTTATTTTGAATTTTTTATTATATATAATTTTATAATTATAATATCTTTTACACTTTCCTACCGAGAGAAAATTAAAAATTGTACGTCTATCTTTCTTTTATTTTAAAATATACATTTTTTTCCATTAATAGACTTTAAAATATCTTTATTTTATTTTAAAAATAATGAAAATTGTTATGTATTTTTTTTCAATTTCACACTAATATATTGAGGTTTCGTTTTAAATTAATTTAGTTTGATCGG